TTGTTGTCGGTTTGGAGTTGAAATTCATGTTTGAATCTTCAAGAGCGTGGATAAATTGTTTCAAGAATAACAAAACACGCACACCATTTACTCCCTCAAAAGAACATTTATTTCGAAGAACTTGAAAAATCATATCACTGGGAAAACCAAACTCGGAGAGAGAAAAGATGTAAAAAATGAAGAGCGTGAAATGGATTAAAAGATTCAGGTCCCTTATCACATGGTGAGACGTCATCTCCACCACGACACTTTCACAAATTTAGTATGAATGGAAACGAAAAATTGTTTCGTCTCAAGTAGGAAAAAGAAGTGACTTTGAGCATTTGGATTTGGTCCCAAGGAGCATCCAAGCTTTTCGAAGTAGAAGGGTAAATCATATACATTCGTAAATGGAAAAAAAAAAAAAAAAAATTTAATCAACTTATAAGCTTTTAGTTAATCCTCTTAACAATGTTGATTGGAGCTCAACACTTTTTTCATTTGATTCGAGTAGTCGTTTGAACGATCAACATGCATAGTTCTTACCTTTTTCATCAAATTTTCCATGTTCAATTCCACTCCATTTTACAATATATACTGTGGGGTAACTTTAATTTTCTCAATTGATTGACGTCCATAATTTTGTGTTAAAATCTTTTGACTTAAAAAAATTCAAAGCCTTCATTCTAGAAAACAACTTTTTGGCCTCCCCCCTTTTGGCATTTCGGCTTGACCGGGCAGTAATAAGAACAGTGTAATATAAAACATATTAATGTCATATTCATGGTTCTTGTGTTAATATTTTCACATTGTGAGTACAATATATTATTTGTCAGTGAAATATTGTTAAGTTGTGGAGCCCGTAAATCAAAATTTAATCTGATAACTGTTTAGAAATTAAAATTCTATTAAAAATTTGAAATCCTTTTAAAATTCGATTTTGCTTCAATTTACCTTATAGATATGGAGCCGTGAATATTAGGCCTTATATTTATCATCAAAAAGAGAGAGAGATGATAGAGAAGATAGGAATGCGATTTTCTTTTGTAGAAGATGGCATAGTCCCACACGGAGACGAATCTCTATAAGTATTGCATTTTCTTGAGTTCTTCTCTTTCTTCAAATTGATTGTTTTCAGTGGAATAAAATTAGAGTTTATAATTATCAACATAAATAACATTTTCTTATGCACATATCAAGTCTCTGTTTGGTACAAATTAAAATCCAAATTTTAATTTAAGTCAAAGTTAACAACTAATTTTAATAATACATTTTATAGGACCCACAACTTTTTTAACTATATATTTCATCAACTTTTATCAAAATTTACTAAAAATTTGATTTTAATCCCCATCAAAAATTTAATTTGGTGTCATACGATATGAAACTATATCGTTGACATTTTTGTATAAGACTCATTTGAAAATATTAATCTTTCAATTCGGCCTAGTTACTTATTCAAATTTTAAATGGAACGAACTGTTACTCTGAACTTTTTCAACTTTGATCCATGGAACCTTTGAATTCTATTTTATAAGGCATATATGAATAGGAGTAAAAGAGAAGATACATACGAAACCATGTTCTTTCCATCCCTCGAGCCCTTGATATATCGACAATATTAATTCATATATTGACCAATCTACTACGTTTCTTGGATTCCTTTCTCATATATTCGATTCCCATTAATGTTTTAGAATTCAACCATTAGATCCCCTCTTTGCTTGTCAACCATTAGATCACCTCTTTGCTCAACTCTTTGGCAAGGTTTGCTTGTTTCCGAGGACATGAGAATCTCAATGATTTTGTGGGGCTGCTAATGTCTCTATGCATTCATGCATGCCCTTCGGCCTCTACCTCGTCTAAAAGTGCTGATTAGCTT